CATTCCTGCAAGTGACTAATGTTTCTCGGAACTGATTGATTCTCCTCTAGTTCCTAAGGATTTAAGAAGGCAATTGGAGAACGGGAATGTGACTCAGAGGGCCTGTCTCAAACTTTATCTTGTGCTACCTGGTGATATGCCAGCATGTTCAGCTGGCAAGAAATTGGGCCACAGGGAATTTAAAACTCAGTTGGCAGGAAGGGTCTTGCTGAAAATTGCCTGGTGTCTCAGGAGGCTTGTCTCGAGAATCTGTCTGTTGGGTGAACTTTCCACTAAAAAAGGGGGTTTGGACTTTAGCTTTATAGTGGTCTGAGTGGTAGTGGCAGGGTTAGAAACAAGAGATGGCCAAAAATAGATGCATAAGCCAGTATAGGAGAGGACTGATGGTTTATGGAGTCTGCAAAGTGAATGAATTTGGAGGGTGTTGGATGTTTATAAGTCTCTGTCTCTTGTTCCCATGTCCTTCAGGCCACAGCTCCTTTCCTGCACATAGGAGCTCTTGCGGCGGTCACAGCCCTGTCGTGGTTGATAGCTGGGCAGTTTGCAAGAACGGAGAAAGCCAGTGAGTACCCGCTCATTGCCATCGCCTTTCTCACCCTCATGTCCCCCTCATGTCCTTATGTTGCGATTGAAGGGTGCCGTGTCTTCATGCATGACATTGGCTCCCCTCGTAGAGATGCCACCAGAGGGTTGACATCCCTGAGGCTCCTTTCTCAGGGCTGGGTGGTCTCCACATGCGCTGGCTTGGGAATGTGACTATTTCCCTGGAAAAACTTTCCTGAAGCCAGAGTGGGTGCACCTGGCCTGGGTATACATCCAGATTCCACAGCTGCTGCTTTGATGTTGGGAGCACACCAGACCTGAAGGTGAAAGGTCTATTTTCAGTGATGAAGTAAATAAAAACATCAAAATCTTCTATCATTCTACTTTAGAAAATGTAATTACACCATCTCCTGCTAATCAACAGTGATTTCTGTATCTTATAAGCACTTTTCACTTTCCAAGAACTCCTTGGCTCTTATTTGCTGTGGTTTCTAGATTTATCTGCCTTTTGAAGGCCTCTTTTTGGACTTTTTTTTGTGTTACAGTAGCACCTAGATGTCTCAACTGATCTAGAACACCCGATCGTTAGGTTCTCCCTAAATGCATTTTGACATATGGTCTGAGGTCTAAAGAGATCACACAGGTGAAGGACGTGCAGTCATCTGGTTTTGTGTTGTGCACCAGTGCCAGGAACTGGACCTGGCTCTGGTTTCTGGTCTTGTCCACTGAAATAAGTTGTTCTGTGCATTGCTGTGACTCTGCGTCTTTGCCATGGGCTCTGCCAGTCCTGGCCTGTTCCCTCTGTTTTTCTTGGGGAAGAGTTTGCTCATTCCATGCACTCAAAAGTGTTTTTCTTCAGGATGTCCTCAGACTGTTGTGCTAGCTCTATTGAAGAAAAAAAAAAAAAGATTTTAATTGGTATTTAACCTGAAGTAAAATACAAGCCTTGGAAGTATTTGGCAGCATTTGTGAAAGACTTCGAAGAAGTGGGTGTTTAGCACAGGGAAGCAGTGTCTGAAGAAGACTGTCGATGGAAAGACTTAATATCCAGGGAGACCGTTGAAAGAAGGAGTTGCTATGGTTTAATTTATAAACATGCCAGTAAAGCTGTACCTGGTTCTTTTTAAATATATGTCTTTGTGTGCAATTAGACTGCCATTTGAGGGAAGATTTGCAGGTACACCTAGAGCAGACTTTTATGGGCTCCTTTTATGGGCTCCCTTTGAATTCCTCATACTTGTTTTCTTTGAGATGTATTCTCTGAAAATCACCCTTGGTTATTATTTTTGTTTGTTCAATAAGATAGGAATATCTTTTGTTTCTCTTCTGCTCCTGAATTTTTATATGTATATATTTTTTTTCCTTTTTTAAGAAAAAATGAGTTTCTTTGGTACAACTCGATCCAATAGTTCCATGTATATTCAGGGGTCGTCTTACGTGTGAAAGGGATCCCACCTGGAGAAGCTTACAGATATTTGCTGGCAGTTGGGCTGATTTTGAAAGCCTGGTTGGTATGTTGTGTTCCTGGTGTGAGAAGAGTGGGATCAGGGTCATGTCCTGTGCCTTCTGGAGGCACTTGGAGTGGCCTTACCTTGGCTGAAATGGGTAATGCTGGTCAACCACCAAAGTAAACACAAGCAATTTTAAAATGCACTGATGCAGCACATGAGCTGCAGAAATGTTTAACTGGAGCCTTATTTCCACTCTCAAGTGGGCCAAAACTTGGTGCTGTCCCACCCAAAGGACTGAAAATCAACAGTGCTTCAGGTTACTTTGCTGGGACTTCAAGCAATGCACTTTTTGTTTCCTCAAATGTTAAAAAAAAAAAAAAAATCAAGTGAAAAAGATGAAGTGAGAACCTCCCTCAGGACTTGAATATTTCAAAAATGGAAGATGATATTGCCCAAACACAGAGCTGTGCTATTCTGCTGGAGGCAGTGACTGTGGACCAGGCTATGGAGCTCGATGGGGTCTTGTCTTTGCTGCTGTGGTATGGGGAAGTCTGGACTAGTATTTTCACCAGCTCTTTCTGTTTCTTTTGCTTCAGCTGCTCAGATGCTGATGTTCACTGCATACCTCGCAGTTGTAGTTGCACTTTACCTCGTCCCTCTCACCATTTCGTCCCCTTGCATAATGGAGAAGAAGGCTCTGGGACCAAAGCCAGCCATTATAGGTCACCGTGGAGCACCCATGGTGAGTAGTTTTGTTTTATTAGTACTATGTTGTTCAATTTTTCTACCAGATGCTGGTTTTGGAACTGCTGATCTTCATGCCCCTGTCTAGAGAATATTATCCATCTCCAGCAAGTGTCTGTGTCATCTCTAATAGCTCATTTACCTTAGTGCCATGAGGGAAGTGGGGCAGTAGAGACTGAAGAAGGGATCTTGTTGGCTTGGGCAGAGCACTAAGCTTGTGTAATGCTGTGATGTGGTCCTTGGATGCATTGGCCAAGGACTGCTCTAGGTTGGGTGCTTCTGCACCAGGGGTCAGTGGTGTATTCACACCTCCATCCCTCCATCACTGCCTGTACAAGAGGGATGTGGAGCTGCTGGAGAGAGTCCAG